GAGTTCCAATATACCCTGCACCCAGTTTCCCCTATTATTAACATCTTATATTTACTGTATGGTATACTTGTTCTGAATTAATAAACCAATATCGATACATTATTATTAAAGTCTATGCTTTATTCACATTTCCTTAGTTTTTCCTAATGTCTTTTTTCTGTTCCAGGATTCCATCTAGGATGCCACATTCCATTTAGTTGTCATGTCTCCTTAGACTTCTTTTGGCTGTGGACAGTTTTGTAGACTTTCCTTCTTTCTGATGACCTTGACAGTTTTGATAAGTACTGGTCCGGTATTGTGCAGCATGTGCCTTTATTGAAATCTATCTGATGTTTTTCTCATGATCAGACTGGGTTTATGGATTTTTGGGACACAGACTGCAGAGGTAACACGCTATTGTATCATATCCTAACAAGGGTACATATTATCAACATGATTTACAATTGTTGATGTTGACTTTGATCACCAGACAGAGGCAGTATCTGTCAGGTTCCTCCACTGTACAGTTACTCCCCTGGTCTCCTAGAAATCACTATGTATAGCCACTCTGCTGTTAAGGAGTAGAGAGTTATAATCCCCTCCTTGGGGATGCAGTATTTATTAAATTATTTGGAATTCTTCTGCACAGATTTGCCTCTTCTCCCATTCAAGCCTTTATTTATATCAGTATGTGTAATTAATTTTTTAAAATTCTCATCTCTTCTGTTTCCTGAATTTGTTTTGTTTTGTTTTGTTTTTTCCTAGGTCAGTTTTTCTGTGTTTTTTCTTAACCTTGATTTTTCTCTTCTATGGATATGGTTTTCCTCATATACCTGGTTGTCCATTTATATTTAAGAAGGACAAGGTAGTTGATATAATTTTCCTCTGGTGAAATATAAGTAGGTCTATTTTTCAATAGGTATCTTTCTTGAGTGCCAAGTCTGCTTGGGAGTTGTTTGCATTTAGGTTGGGTATGATGACTGGCAGGCATTGTTTTAGAGTAAACTGGTGGGACCTCCATGACTCACCCCACAATTGCCAAAATACAAAGAAATAAGGAGAGCTTTAATCTACAATTGCCACATTAGAATCCTGAGCATGCTTTATTGTTTTTGTTAGTTTGTTCATGCTTGTAAGTAAATGTCAGGCTTCATTTGCCAGGAAAGGAGTCAATTGTTCTGTACACCAACCTTCAATGAATCCCCATTTCTGATACTTCTCATCAGATCCACCAATCCTGAGTTTATAGCCACTCTGGAACTCTGATGAGCAGAGAAGCTCACTTCACTACAGCCCACATACAGCTCCTCATTCTGGGTTGTGGTTTCCTTAGCCTGTTTCTGTTCACTTTCTATCTTCAAGAAACATGTTTAAATCTCCTGTTTCTCTATCATTCCATCCATTTCCATATGTTTATTACTTTTTAATTTCTAATACTTTAACTTCAGAGGAGTTTCGGAAAGAATGAGAGGAGAATGTGTTAGTTTGTCATCTTCTACTCCACAAGTCTACTTCTTAAATAAAAATAAAATTTCTCCTTAGCTTTAAGGTAAGTATAAATTATAAACGTATAATTTATACTTGTAAGTATAAACTCATAATTATGGTTTGGTTGTTGTCTGTTTGTAGTTCTCGTAGTATAAACTTAATTTACTTTCCTATCAAAGCTTCTATTAAAGCTCTCATAAAACTGACAATTGTATCTCTCAGGGTAGGGTCCTCGCAAGAAAAAGAATTCATCACCATATGAACCTTTCATGAAGGGACTACATGTAGAGTTGTGGGCGGGGTTAAGGGAGCAAACAAGGGAATGGTGAGGCACCCAGGCTAGCAACAGGAGGATACTGTTACAATCCTTAGGGCCAAAGGAACAAGGTGGGGAGGAGAGTTATGGGGGCCTAGCAGGCACCAGAACCATGGAGAAGAGGCTGTCCAACAGAAACTGTATTATAAAGAGATACAGTTAGTGTGCTGGAGCAGAGAATGGGGAAGAAATGCCAACTTCTCTCTCTGCCCTTCCATATACTGGCAAAGCTTCCCATTGGCTAGACTCAACCAGAAGCTAGTCAGTTAGGGAGCCCAAAACATGCCATTTGCAGGGTCAGAGCAGGGAAAAGAATGGATTGAGGGAGTGAGGATAGGGAGCAGATAAAGAACCTACTGTTTTATTACCAATATAGTTCCTATATTGAATATATGAGATTTTACAAAACATAAATAGGAATGTTTAATGTTGGATATCATTAGGTATAATCGTCTTGATTAAATGCAAAGAACTATTAATAATCCCCATTCTCATGAGTATTTTTTTGAGGGAAACAAAACCAAGCAGCAAATAAGTCTAAGGATAATCAAAACCATCATGTCAATTCAGACAAGCCTAAAGGCCTTGAATGTAAAACAAAATCAGAACCAAACTTCATATTTTAAACATGGAAAATTATTACTATAATTAAAAAATCTATGCCATATGATGTTAGAAGTCAGACCAGCAGTTACCCTTGGCTGGCAGTGACTGGGATGGAGTGTGAGGGACTTTGGAGGTACTGGTAATGTTGTTTCTTGATCTGCACGCTACTTATACAGATGTGCCCGCATTATGAAAATTCATTGAATAGTATACTTGTGATTTGGGTGATCTTTGTATATTTCAGCAAAAATATTAAAAAAAAAAATGATGGCAGCCATTAATACAACTTAAAAAAAAACCCCAACTATGTCAATGTATTTTTATGTCTTTATTTAGGCACCCTTACTAATAGCCAACAAGGACTTACTGGAACAGCTAAAGCAATGATGTATATTTAACAGAAATGAAAGGCAGATCTTAGCTTCAAAAACTTTGTGATCTGCTTAGGAAAACCACATATTTAGACTTGATATTAAGAATATTATCTCAGGCTATGAAGAATGCTGCAGTAAAAACAGATCCAATATTGATATGTAACTGATTCTCACAGGAAGGCCTAGATAGAAACACTCCTTAAGTGGGCTCTTCCTGTTGGAGATCTCTTTCTCTTTAACCTTAACAAAGGTCAACTAGACCAAAAGCTTGCGGACCCTGCATTTAAACCTACAACACACACAGGGCCACAAAAGCCATGAAGATTTCTAAGCCTCTTCTCTTCTCTGCCCTGAAGAGGCAGTAGGAAGCTCACTCCTACTGGGAAGGGAGTAGACAACACAGGGAAGGAGATTTGAGGGCAGAGACAGGGAAGTATAAAGGAACATGACAGGAGGAGGATTTCTACAGATTAGAAGATCTCTTTGTGTCAGAATAAAGAGAAGTATGTGGGTGCCAAGAGCAAAGGGATCTTGCTGCCTGGCAACACCCCTAGGGAGGCAGCTAAAACCTCAGGAGAAAATACATGTATATACATCTAGGAAGATGGGCTATGGGTATCTTCACCAAAAGTTCTGGGGCCTGACGTATGGCACAGAAAAAGCAAAGACCCCTGGATCTGAAGGGATCTTCTAGCCAAGGATGACTGATATCTCAGGAGTAACTCTCAACCCTCATGCTTTGGTACTGTGTAAAACCTCAGCTGTGGCATAGCTCTAGGATGAAGAAAACTCAGGTAGATCTGAGATAATATAGTACTGTTGTTTCATTTATCTGGTTGTACCAGCGAAAGCTGCTTCATATAAGTGAGTTTTCTGGATAAGTAAATATGGAATCTGTGCGACTTATATAAATTACTGATCTCAGCTGAAATCTGGTAATGGGATTTGGAACTACTGCCCTTATCCTGAATTACTTCCAGACTGGAATGCTTTTAGAGTTTTTATGCCTCTTTTTTTCCTTACTCTCTTGACTAACTTTGTAGTCTTGACATCTCAGTGTGCTTGATTCTAGTTATTGTCTCTCCCTTCCTATTCTAATTTTCTGTTTGAAATATATCTTAGGTTGAAAAATCAGAAAACCAAGTATTTTCAAACTATTCTTAAATCAAGAATCAAGAGGCACTGAGTGAAAACGCCAGGGTTCATGAGGGCAATTCTGATTACACCATGGCCTTTTCTTACTTTCCACCAGGTTCTTACCTATGTTCTATGTCAGCAATTTTCAAGTTATTTTCTTGAATTCTAAAGTTTCAGAAGGTGCTTTAGTGATTGCTGTGAGTGGACAAAAGGGAGGCTGAGCAGCCTTTCTCCCCTGCCTCAATGGGAGTAATCCTCTTTTACATATTTTCTATTCTGGGTTCTATTTTAGATTTCATTTAACAAAAGGATTTTACTGCTAAAAAAAGTTTGGAAACTACTCTTCTAGAAATCTGACCTCTAGATTTGTGTAGCTTAATTGACTATATGTCATAGTTGCAAAAATTTTTAAAAACCTCTGAAACTCCCAAAATAGAACGTATTTTGAAAAGGAAATGAAAATTACCTGAAGTAAAGGGATGAAATCCTCCTGTTCTAGAGAGTTGCAGCTGGGCTTTGCTAGAAGACAGATGAATTTAGAGGCATCATCATGATGGTTATTCAGCAATCTATAAAAGAAACAAGTGTTTAGGAAGACTGGCTCCTCTGAACAAACAATGACTACAACATCAATAGTTGGTAATTTCAGTCTGACCTGAAGTCCATTTAGATAAAAAACTAAGTAAGGGAATCATATAATCAAAGGATGTTCTAGAATGATGAGTTGTCTATGATATAAGGTTGGATGAGTGCTGAAGCCTCTTAGGACCTTCTTCGCTTCTAGTGGTCTCAGCATGAAGTAACAAGGCCCTGGACTCGATGGTACAATGGAATGGAAAGAAAAAAACAGTTGTCTAAAATATTTTGAGGAAAATTCCTCAGTGCTCCAGTATTTCTATCTCGTATTCCAAGCACCTACTGGTAGATAAATATTAAGCTAGAAACTTGGGAGCCATTATGGACTCCCCCCTCCTTTCACCCCCAATGCCTATGAACTACCACATCCTTTCACTTCTACCAAATTTGCCCCTTTCTGTCTTCATTGCCAGTATACACGCTCAGGCTCTCATTGTTTCTTGCTTGATGTTTCCGAAAATGTATCTGTCAAAGTTACTGTCCAAGTTAAAACTCTTTTTAAAGTAGGCTAAAGTCCAAGCTCTTGACTTAACATAAAGGGTCTTCAGGATCTGATCCTATCAGCTCATGTCCCCTTCCATTACCATTCCTTCATTTGTAGTTACCCAGATGTTCCATCCACTCCCACACCAGGCATTTGTATATGCTACCGTCCTTACTGCAACACCCTTCTTTCCCACTTCACTTTCCAGGGAATCTCACTTGGCTTCCTGTGTCCTTCCATCGCACCCTGTGCTGCTTTGTTCTGTCACGGCTGTTCCACAGAAGTATAGTCTTATTGGTGTAACTCTTTCACTAGACTCTAAGCTCCTTACAGGGCATAAAACTGTGTCTTATTTTCTTTTTATCCCAAGCATCCTCAAGGCCAGACACAGCATTCGATAAATGATTAAGAAAGAAAAACAAGAAAATGTTTGTGATCTAATAGACATATATTTGTTATATCTGTTAACAGTCAGTTGAGATACACATACTTAACTGACTTCACTTGTGATTATTAGAGCTGTGGTATGATTTTTATGTTTATTCTCCTTATTGTTCTTTAACATGCTCAAGGCCCCTGAAGTTAAATAAATACATGTTTCGGAAAAAGATTAGTGCAATAGGAGCTAATAGGAGCCATCTCTCAGGATTAGAAAATGGGTGGGATGATCACAGCAGAAAGGCTGCGAAGTCTTTTAAAAACTTTTATAAACACTTTTTAAAAAAAATGTATAGCACCACTAAATAAAAACAGCAGATATATGACAGATGAGAGCTACTCTGAGAGGACAAAGTCAAAGGATACCTTTGCTATGAAATAGAAAGTAAAGGTGAATTATGATTTTCTGCCAATGCTAATGGTTGATAAATGCTACTGGCTTTTAGGGGGTATGAAGGGATTAGAAGACATTTGTAAGATGAATCTGCTATAGTATGCTGATTTTAAATAGTAACAACAACAGTACTACCACTACTTGTAATAGGTGAATAAAGAAGAATGAAGACAGCATAGCTATTCTAAACTGGTATCTTCCAGAGCTTTTAAGACAAAATATTGTTTCATTAATGGACAAATGATATATTGATATGAAAAGGTAAAAGAAAATAAAGCATAATAAACGGGAAGCAATATTATTGATTCCATTTGAGAGGAGTTCTGCCCAAAATCTGGTACTCTAGGACCTCAAACAAAAAAGCTGTGGAGCACTGTCTTTCTTCTAAAAACATCCTGACTGTAAGAAAAACAGATGTCAGAGTATAGATTTGAAATGGGCAGTGGCACAGGGAAGTGAGGGGGAACAGATCCACTTGTAGGAGACATATGGAAGGCTCCAACCCATGAGCACTCTGACATGAGGGGAATTATTTACCTTTATGTTTTTGACTTTTATATTTGACTTTATTTTTTAAGACTATATAGAGCTTGTTATTGGAACAAGCCAGCATACGTATGCATATACCAAAATATTTTAATTCTGTGTCATTACCTGCGAGTTTTTGTACTTGAAAGTTTTAATATACTATACTTGGGCCCAAGTTGCTTTATGCAAAGGGTACAATTTGTAAAAATTTACAAAACTAAACATGTCTTTTCCAAGGTCAGTGTGGTGACTCAAATGATCATGCTTAGCTGCTTAGTCTCCCCAAAATAGCCATATTTAGGTCTTCCTTAAAACACCCTGGCTTTTAAAAGGCATTTTAAGAGCTCAAAGAGGAGTTCCCACTAGAGGGCACTCAAACCATTTTAGTATCTGACCATAAGCCAATGCTTTAATTTAGAGACACTTTCGCAGAATTTTTTTAAATGAAAAAAATAGGGACAGTTGTTCATGCTATTTAACTTCATCAGTAAGTTTTCCTGCAGTTAACCAAAGTGAAGACTTGTGCTTCATGTCTTTTTCCCCCTTTTGCTTTTTATAGAAGTGTCCTTTCCCTGGAGATAAAATTAAAATGATTCATCTCAATGAAGGAATAAAATTATTCTTGTGGTGGCTACTGTTGCTCTATCCACCAACGCATACTCTGATCACTTTAGTTCAATGTAATACATGAAGAACTGGGTGAACTCAATTTGCTTCTAGATTTTTAAAATTAAGAATACTTTTTTTTTTTGTGAGACAGAGTCTCACTCTGTTGCCCTGGCTAGAATGCAGTGGCCTCACCGTAGTTTACTGCAACCTTAAACTCATGGGCTCAAGTGATCCCTGCCTTGGTCTCCCAAGTAGCTGGGACTACAGGTGTGTGCCACCATGCCTGGCTAGTTTTTCTATTTTTAGTAGAGACAGAGTCTCTCTCTTGCTCAGGCTGGTCTTGAACTCCTGAGCTCAAGCAATCCTCTCATCTCGGCCTCTCAGAGTGAAGAACCACATTTATTAATCACCTACTATGTTCTCAAGCATTATTACTATTAAGGGCTTTTAGGTATGAAGGGATCAGAAGGTCTATAAACTGAATCTGTGGCTGTTATATGTTAATTTTAAATACCAACAATAGGTGAATGGCATTTCCCAGTAGTTTACTAGTAAGGGTATTTAGCCCAGAAAAGGTGAGAAGAAAATGTATGAAGAGGGCTGATCTGTTAAAAGAGGTAGAAGGGGCTGTGCACGGTGGCTGACGCCTGTAATCATAGCATTCTGGGAGGCCGAGGCGGGTGGATTGTTTGAGCTCAGGAGTTCGAAACCAGCCTGAGCAAGAGCGAGACCCCGTCTCTACTAAAAATAGAAAGAAATTAATCGAACAACTAAAAATATATAGAAAAAATTAGCCAGGCATGGTGGCGCATGCCTGTAGTCCCAGCTACCTGGGAGGCTGAGGCAGAAGGATCTCTTGAGCCCAGGAGTCTGAGGTTGCTGCGAGCTAGGCTGACGCCACGGCACTCACTCTAGCCAGGGCAACAAAGCAAGACTCTGTCTCAAAAAAAAAAAAAAAAAAAAAAGAGGTAGAAGGTGCAAGTTATGATATTCTCTTAAAATGGATAACTACATCAACAAATAGCTCTTAAAAAAGAAAGAAGGGAGAAAAAAAGAAAAGGAAGAAGAAAGTTGGGCTTGAATTGAAGAATATTTGTCACGATGTTATAGTCCAGGAATATCTTGATAAATACTAGCCCTTTGTTTCTTTAACTGGAGCTTTCAAAAAATATTGATTAGAATCTATTAACATTCAGTTATTTTTAGGTATAATTCAACTAGGTATAACTTTAAATTGGATTATATGAGAATGAAAATGTATTGCTCATGTGATACATGTGGTTTGCTCCCCTTAAAGGAGAGTCTAGCTCCTTTCATGTCACTGCTGCCAGACTCAAATTCTGAGACCCAAATTTAACAAGTAAAACTAAGAAACTATCAAATAGTTGTTTAAAAAGTATTTTTACATGTCTGCGTTACTATTTAAAGACAAAGATAAAGGCTTGTAACAAAGAACTTGTGTGTGAGTATAAATGGTTGTCAATTAATGAATTTTCCTTGTTGGAATAAAGGGTAAAGAGAAAATGAATAAATGAGTAACGCAGGTGATCTTTATAAAGTATGCCATGAGGACCAGACAATTCTTTGCCTCCCCAGAGTGACTGCTTACATACTTACTTTTTCCACATGGCAATGAATGACTGTGCTGACACAAATCCTGTCTTCTCTCCCCCTGCAGCCCTGAACATGGGGGCTTTCCAATAGAGAGGACAGCCACAGACCTGAAAATAAAAAACAACTACAGCGTAAGCCAAGAGGCAGTGAAGAGATACATGGCCAAAGAAAAGGTCTTTGTGGCTTTTACCCTTCATGCCACAGTGGATGGAAGGGCCCTTGGGAGAACAAAACTGGGTCACAGGCAAATATATCGACTAGGGTAGATTCAGAGAGAAACAGAGGGGAAACAAAATAAGAGGATTACATGTTTAATGAAGAAAATGGAAATCCATTTACCTTTTCTCCAAGTTCATTTATAGTGATTTCTCCCCCCAGCCCCCCCCCACAATCATGATAGTTAAAGCAACCAGCCTCACTTCCTAACACTCTTACATCATATACTTTCTACCTTCTAGAAAGAAAAAGAAATGACAATGTCATGGTTGTATATGTACTTCATTCCTTGAGCAGAAAGATAGAGCCACCTTTACTTGGTCACCTGGTGTTAATACACTCTACTACCTATCTCTTTCTCTCTCCTTTGCCCATTGTTATTAAGTACCAGGTTCAAGAAGAACCAGAAAACCCTAGAATGCTCAAGAAAACATCCCTCAAATCTATTTAAATCATTATAATTCAGGTAAAAGATGAAAGGTAAAAATCAAAATGCTATCTTTTTTTATAAATCAGAAGCTACCACCGATGACGACAAAAGGGACAAAGTAGGAATGAATATAAAATAACTTCAATAACCCTAAAAGCCATTGTTTTTTTCTCCTAAATAAAAAGACCTTCCTTTCAATTTAAAAAAATTATCCTTTTACTCTCAAGAGTTCTTACTAAATTTACCTGCTTTTTTCCTAGAGGAAAAATTCTTTCCTGTAAGTAGCAATATTATCTAAATATTATCAGAAAAATAGTCTCCAAATCTTCCCAATTTTGTACATACACAGAAAACATTCCCAAATCTGGATCTCTTCAAGAGTCACATCTTGTTATGAGATAAGGATATTATCATTATTCATATTAGATACAGGATCTGTTGAGCCTCCATCATTCACAGACAGAAGCTTCTCCTTTGGAAGTAGATTAGATGTGTATCTACATTAGGTTTAGGTGAACTCACTCCTGGTATCAGGCCTCAGTGCACAGGGGATCCTCACAGGAGCCTGAAGAGTACCTAGTCTGACATTAGCTATCTTGAGAGAATGCCCAAGGCTGCTGTGTTTATGCCAGAGTTGAAGATATGGAAGGTAAGATTCAAGCCAAAAGAGGTAAGGACAGGGCAGAAATAAAAAGTTGCTGCTGCCAGGGCCACTAAAGCACATCTGCAAGCAGAGTAGAATTTAAGATTTCTAAAGTCCAGAGGTCAAATACCTCCACTGAGGTCAAGAAAGAGGGAAAGGTGTTGCTTAGCAACCATGTGATTTTTGTTTACTGTATAAATTGTGATTGCCAAGGTACAAAGCTCACAACTAATATAGTTTGGGTGCATAAACTGTCAAAGCCACTTTCCCCAATCCCAGTCCCTCCTTTCATGCAGAGTAGTGGTTTGCCAAGAAAATGTTCTTAGCCTTAGTGATAGGCTATTGGCAACTGCTGAGAAAGCTGAAAGAATAGTCTGTATTATGAAGTGGGGAGACACAAAGAGAAAGTACAGGGAGAGACTGGAAGAGGGTTGCCAAAGTGCTTGAAACTCCCATCACCAGAGTCACTCAAGAATTGTTCAGAATTGGAAGGGATCAGGAATCTTCTAGTTCAACCTTGGGAAGCGGTCACCAGCCTCAACTGAAACACCTTCCAGTGGCTGCGTGCTTACTACCTCCTGTGCGGTAACTTCCAGTTTTTTTTTTTGAGACAGGGTCTCGCTCTGTTGCCCCAGCTAGAGTGCAGTGGTGTCATCATAGCTCACTGCAACCTCAAACTCCTGAGCTCAAGCGATCCTCATGCCTCAGCCTCCTGAATAGCTGGGACTACAGGTGCATGCCACCACACCCAGCTAATTTTTTCTATTTTTAATAGAGACAGGGTCTCCCTCTTGCCCAGGCTGGTCTCAACGTGCTAGCCTATAATAAATGATTTTTTTTTTTTTTTGCTTAAACTAGCAACTGTTGTTTGCAAATAAGAATCTTGACTTATATGAAACTATTATCTCACTATGGATTTTATTTTTTAAACTTTTTTATTGATACATAATATTTGTACATTTTTATGTTTTTAATTTTTTATTGCTATGAACTTTAAATCTCTATTTTGAAACTCATTACAGACCCTTGGTTAGGTTCTGTCCTTCAGAAGTGGATTGTGAACGTGGCCACAAATTCTCTGCAGTTCCTCCATTAAGAGGGGAGCATGTTTTCCTGGCCCTGAGTCTTGGCTAGCCTGTGACTTTTTCGGATCAACACAACAATGCAGAAGTGATAGTGACTGTTACATAGGAAAGCTAATTGATAGCCCTCTCCATGAAACAATAAATATCGTGGAATTCATAGGAAAGAGTAATCATAAAAAAGAGCTAGGACCTAAGGGTTACTGCGTGTAAAAATACACTGGTTTTGGATTTAGTGTCTAAAAAATATCCCTGTTATGTATCATTTTCTAAATCAAATTAAGCTGATCTGAGCTCCCAGCCACCACGATTGAACAATCGATGAAAACGTAAGTTGGGTTGGCTTTTTGGAACGGCTCTGCCCCCTCCTAGTGTTGTTATCCCAAACATAGACCCTGGAGAAGTGGGAGGCTCGTACAGAGCAGTCACTGTCATCTCTGGGAACCTGTTGCTTTGAAGAGAAAGCAGCAAAGGAACTGGAGAGGCTCCCACTACCCCTGGAGTTTGATCCCATTGGCTCTGTCAGGGTATAAGTTGCCCTGATCCTAAATCCTGCATTGGGTCTCCTGTCTTTGCTTTTGTAACTGGCTCCATGAACCCCTATATGTTTTTTATAATCCTCTCCCTTAACTAACAACTTGACCCTTTGAGGTGTTTCCCAGAAATGAATCAACTTACACTATTTAACAACTTTCATTCCCTAGGTTAAGGTCCTTTCTCCAGAAGATGCCTGTTAAAATGTGTAAGTGTCAGATCAGAGATTAATACTTACAAACCTACTATGACCTAAAGGCAAAATCCTAAAACATTAGGAACAGAACAAAAATGTTTTAAAGTGGATTGGAAAAGGTCAGCCTATTTTTCTCACTGTGGGGTACCCTGAGTAGCCAAGGGTTAAACAACATGAAGGTATCAGGTCCCTGGAGAAAATGCCAAAGGAAAAAAATGGGAAGGGCAGCAAATGGCAAGGGCTGTGGACATTAAACTTTGACGATTTAAAGGAAAATATATGAAGCCAGTGTGAAGATTTTTTTTTTTAAACAAAGGAAGAGAATGGATGACAAGTGGGGATATACAGGGAGATACAGAAAATGGGTGTAGAAAACTTACACTTAGAGGTGGCAGCAAGAGTCAATGTGTGGTAACCAAAGTTGCCAGAGCAAAGAAAACTTGAATAACACCTATAAAATTTGATCTAAGAATGGTCTAACAACATAAAGAATTAAAAGCAAAGTTGTCTAATGATACACATAGGAGGCTATGTTGTAATGTTCTTTCAACATTTAAACATATCTCATGCTGGCTATTTCATTTGGCCCTCACATGATCCCCCTACAGAAGAGGGCAGGTATTTTTACCCCATTTTACAGATGAAGAAATTCAGGTACAGAGAGGCTACCTTACAGGCCACAGGCATGATGGGTCAAGATGGTGCTACATCAGCCAGAGAGAGGAGCTGGAGGGCTTTGCATGGTTCAGAAGAGAGTTTTATTCTTTTTCCTCAACTTTCTGCTAGAGGTTAAAACTCCAAGATGAATCCTCTGGCCCAGTCTCTGACAAATATTTTCTTACTGCTGCTTAGTTTCTGTTCCTACGCTGCTTTCATCCCTCTTAGATTCATTCTCTATTCATTTCTTCTCTATCATCACTTAAAGCTGTGGAATAAAGCATAAACTACACACTGGAAATTTAACCAGATGTGGGCATTAAGCTCTCCAAGGCTGTTTGAGGTCTAAAGATGAATGAGCTAAACTTCACCAATAGATGCGAATTTCAGAAACATAGTTTTCTCTGCACTTGAAATATAGATCCCAGTCTTTACAGCTACACCTAAGCGCCACTAAGAGTAGGTTGCAAACTAAAGCTGGCCTTCCTAATAGCTTTATAAGCTATATGAATCCATAAAAACATTCATTTATTGCTCTGACAACCTCTCTCTTCCTTGCCCCTTGAAGGTTGACTCTCTTTCTCCTTTTCTCATGCTAACCTATTGTAAGAATATGGACAGTAAGTGCTGGAGCCACAGAATCCACTGCCTAGTGCCAAAAAGACTCGCATAGCAAAGAATTATTGAAAATAAGGGTGACTTAGTGAGTGCCAACGGATTGCAACAGCCAAGTAAAAGCTAGATTAAATGAGAATTAGCTAACTGGAAGACATGATTAAATCAATTAAAAAAAATGGTTTTGAGAATAAAGATGCAAAGTCCAACAAAATGAGCTGATACAGTAATCAAAACCAAAACAATACAAACTGATACACTCATAATATCTTTTGAAGTCACTGTATATAAATATTCCTTTTCATATGTAATGTTATTTATAACTTTTTAAAGGTATGGGCAGTTTATGTTGCTACCTAAGCTGACAATTAAGATCTAAGATCTAGCAATGAACACAAAGTCTTGGTGCCCATGAATGAAATTTAGGGCTGTAATCAAGTATAATTCAGACAAGTCAATCAGACATATATATGTATAATAGCTATTGTGCCACATGATTATTAGGTACAAATAGTAAATTGTTACGAAAATGACAGTTACTATGACTAAACAAATTAGTTTTCTATCTTTCTAAACTTCTCCATGTTGTCAGCTTCGACATGAATGGTTTTTCCTGATGCCACATACAGACTGATCCTCACTGCACATAAATAGCAAAGTCCTTCCTCTGGCTCCCCACCATACTGAGGCCCCCTTCCCTGCCTTGACTATACTCTTTTTCATACCTCCTTTGACCGTTGTGGAGTCAACAGGCTTTTTGCTTTCCTCTCACTGAATCTGTGGAGTGCTAGAGGGCCATTGAGCAGTGGAACAGGGCAGGGCTCCCACAAGACAGGGCTGCAGGGCCAAACCCAGAGGGATGTGGAAGCAGGGCAGTATGAAGGCACAGGGAGAATGGGCTCCTCAGTCAGGGGTTGAGAATATTTGGAGAAAGAGAGTTGGCCCAGTGGGACCTGTATTCAAGACAGGCTAGGCTGCAGTTTTGTGACAGTCAGGCACTAATCACCTAGATGGGCTCTCCAGACATGGTGACCTCAGCATTATACCAGGGAACTGATACGCTTTAATCTGGACAGTTTCTCCTTGTCTGCTTACCTGAAGCAATCCATGAAACCTCCTATCTCTTTCACAAAATTGTTCCCGTGTTAGAAATACGCTGTTGGCAATTATGCAGTTACCATGTTATCTCCAAATGCAGATTTCCTTCATCCTTGCTAAATTTTATCTTTTGGATTTAGATCCATAGTTCTGGCCCATTCAGAGAATTTATTATTTTGATTCTGTCTTCTAATAAAATAGCTGCCTCTTAAAGAATTGGGTAAGAAAACCCTGAGTGCCCTGAAAGAACGGGCAATTTATTTGGATGACCATTGATTAGAAGTTAGTTAATGTTCGTGTACATTCAGGGAGATAGCACATGTAGAAAGAGCACCATGCTAGAAGTTAAAGGACTTGTCTCCTGACATGAACTAGTTCTGTGACTGCAGGTAAGTACTGGTGGTACTGCAGTTTTCCCATAAGTAAAATGGAATGAAATCAGATAAGCTATTATTTCTGGAATGAAAGAGTTTGTTTTTCATTAGAAACATCTAAGGGATCAACAAGCAATTTTTAAGACAGGGATGAAGAAAGAGAGAATAAAAGAAAGAATTCCCTTTTATTTCCTTTAAAATCACTCTAGTTACAAACCATTTAACAGCAATGACAAATGCTCTGTGAGGTCAGAAGTAGGGCATGACCGAAGTGGAGGTTTATGGACTTCTCCAAAAAGACACAGTGGAAGTTGGGGCTCCAAAATGGATACTGTGGAGTTTGGCAGGAGTGGAAGCCTATCTTGGAGGGGAAAGCTCTGAGAGCCCAAAGTCAGAGGTGTGCCTGTGAGCGGACAAGTGGGTCAGGCTCATAAAGGAAACAATATTAGGTAAGTTTGGGAAGGAACTCTGGGGCGAGATTGTGAAGACCCTGGAATGCCAAGAAGAGAAGTTCGAGTTTTATACTGAAGAACAGTAGTTTTCAAACTTTTAACACTACTTCTGAAAGCAGGGGAAGCCTTCTCAGTGGAAGTGTGCCTGGGGCCTTGTGCATTCTCCTACTTGCCTCCATGCATTTCTTAGCCTACTAAACCTCTCTGCTTCTTGAACCACAGATTGAAACCACTGCTAAATCCTGAGGTATGATCTGACTCTTCAATATACATGCATAATAAAAATAAAACCAAAATAAAACAAAACACTAGTCGAGATGGTGAGAACCCTTGAATATTGCTGGGAATGGTATGATCAAATATAATCTGATGGTCATGCTCAGTACTAACTGTTCTGGGAGGAGGCTGGAGGTACAGAATCCAGTCACAGTAGTCCTGACGTTGGGACTTAAAACCCTTAAATCAGAAGCAGTTGGATCTGTTAGAAAGTATCAAAGACTTGCTTCCTAGAGTCAAATCCATTTATTTCAGGGTAAAATGACAATGCTGAGATGGCCTAATGATTCCTTGTCTGGCATTAGGGCAGAGTTATGATCAATGGGAGAGAACAAAAAAAGATTCCTATTTAACTCAAGGAAAAATTTTCTAACAAACAAGGCTACTTAATGATGAAACAGGCTGCCTGGCAAGGTAGTAAGCTTCTAGTCACTGAAAACATTCACACAGAGAATGAATTTATGAGCTGGTGATGACTTGGAAGGGATTCCTGTATTAAATGGGAGGTTGGACTGGAAAACCACTAACGATTTTTTCAAACTTAGAAGTTCCATCTAATAGGACCACAGATAAAGACTTTATCGGGATCAAACAGATTATTTAAACATGGAGAAAAAGTCTATGCATACTTAAAAACAGAAAGCAAAGAGGCAGTAAATAGGAGGAGATTGGGGATTCCAGATAAAGAGGGATTATAAATCATTTAGTTAGTTATATTACCTTTGCAATTTTCCCCATTTCATAAATGTCTGCTTTCTGATCTTCAATATCCATAAAAGCGGCTTCAATTCTGCTTAGAGTCTGTTCGTGGTTACTGCAGGTATCTGGGAGTCCTTCAGGAAAGTAGAACTGTGGAATGTTTATGGACAATGGTGTATTCACAACATTATTCACATGAGGCACAGGGGAGGGAGGTCTGGGACTACTTGGCAAGGTGGCTGGAGGTGGAAGTGGTGTTCCAGGTTTCTTTTCTGGTTTATTTTGAATCTGGAAAGAAAATGAGATTATGAGACACAAAAATTCTAAACAGTTTTCATTTCTTGAGAATCCTTACCAGTAATAGGAAGTTGGGTATAAGTACAAAACCACAATTAGAGACAGTAGAGATCACTCCACTCTGGAGGGTGGCAAGCATGTTTCTAGGAATGATTATCCATATTAAATAAATCAATACAAAAATTATCTGTCAATAATCAAGTTTACATAGATTTATGTTTAAAAAATCCTGCAGTACATTTTCCCATCAATTGGCAGACATTTCAAAAGAATCAAAAAGCAATGTCAGCTGATGTGTTAAGGACATCAAGAAGTATTCTCAGTCTGTTGGAACTGGATTAGTAAATTCTTTTTGAAGACTGTTCTTGGCCTTTCTGTGAATTTCTCCTTCAAAAGGCAGAATGAGTTCTTTTAAAATATATAAATCTAAAACACATTTGGGGGGGGCTCCTTTCACCATCTTCTCTAGTTTGACTTTGCTGAGGTGGAATCACTGCCGACCCCTGATGCTGAGAAAATCTTTGTTAAGAAATTAAAGCATTTTAGTTCTGGAACATCTTCTACCTGGCTGATTTACTTGCCACTAGAGGCATGCCACTTTTTCCAAAATATACATATATCTTATTTTAGTTATGCTCTAAATAGGCAGGGACCATGGTCATTAATTTCATCACAACCAAACTCCCTTTCCAGTTTATGAATTCATGTACAGTTTACATTATTCCTTTTTGTAAAAGCATTTGATGTGGTATAACATAAAGAGATACTGGAAAGGATGGTAAAGGGAGGGACAGTGGGGAGACAGAGATTGCCCATGATTTAGAAAAAAGGGAGGGGAGGTACACCATTATTCAGGTAGGAATTTATTTTACCAGTGAAGACTAAATTTAGTTCTCAGATTCCTAATAGAAAAAGCAAAAAAGATTCTACAAAGATTTTCACAGTTTCTACTCTTAATTAAAGACTAAGTTATCTATCAAGGATCATAAACATGGCACTGTATTAGATGCTACATAAAGTATGAAAGACGGACATGACTGTGAATAGCTAAACTTACTTTAAATTCACTGTGAACACAACGTATTATTCAAATGTTCTTCTTCCTTAAATTACCCTAATGCCATCCCTACAATTTGAACAATGATTTATATATAAGAAGTAGATCTGAATATCATATTTCCTCTTAACATATGGCTTATAACATGATTTTAAAATTTGGGATAAAAGTCTTAGCTATCCTTAAAATGCATGAGTTTTATAGGCAGATAAGCTTCATTCACACAAACGTGATGAAAATGGTTAAATTTCCTACTTTTGTTATGATGGCCCATTTCCTATGTGTTAATATCTAATATTAACACACAGAGAGGATTCTGCTCATATATTAATACTATTAGGGGCATGAAGGGCAGCTGTCATATCAAGCCTTTGCTGCTATAAGTATCAAGATGTCACCCATATAAAGCAATAGTCAAGAAACACAGGGAAGTGATGCCAATGAAACATGAAAAACTTAACAGAAAACAGTAATGGCCTACTAGTCTGTAACCTCAGGAAAGTTACTTAACCTTATAGAATTTCAGTAATAAAACAGAAATTACAGTCCTTATTTCTTGGAAGGTTGTTGAGAAGATTAAAGGAAATTACAGGATATAACATTGATAAAAGGTTCCCAATAGTGCTGGGCATGATCTGTCTTGATGTAAGAAAATAAGTGACAGGCCAAAGGGTGAAGTTCTCAAAAGATCAGATTAAGCATTATTTGGCATGTTCAGATTCAATAATAAATTAAATAAGCATTTACCTTTGTAAAGTAATTAAAATTTATAAATCACTTTTGATTTAATAAATTGATAATCTAGTCTAAGTAAACATTTCTTAGTGCTAAATCTGCAAATATTATATAGTGCTATGAGTCAATAATAGTTATTGTTATTGTTTTAAAGTATTTTAAAATCCTAAAATAAGGCATAGAATTCTTCCGGGGCTTTATCTAGGTCTTTACCTACATTAGGGCCATTTCCTTTCCACTATTTTATGGTGAAAGAGATTTGTGAAACTACAAGTGTGCAATCATCAAAATTATTTTATTGTTTTCCCATGTTTCCCATGGCGTAACATCCAGGGCAGTTACAGATAATTTCAGAGCAGTTATGCCCACAGGACTAGGACCACAGGGATGAAACCTGATAGTCTCATGAACACACCCTAATGGGGAAGGGTTAGAGCAGGGTCTTCTAAAACTCTGTTTTTGCTTTTACAGAAGTAAGTGACACTGAGAACAAAACATTGGCTGTTAAAGTTTTCATCTGAATGGGAAAATATTTGATTACGTAATATTCTACTGTTTTCTTAATGTACTTCTTAACACAGCAATTCGCTGACAGGCAAATATTTATTATTTCATTGGTTAATTCCATATTAATAAAACTGATATTAATACTTAAAAGGAAAATAACATTTAAAAATGCATTTATATTGAACTTTCAGATATATCAATTTACTTTCCATTGAATTCTTTAGGAGACATATAATTTAAACCTTAAAGTAGTTTAATAAAACTGACCCTTTATAAGCATTACAGAATAAAACCTAGTAATATAAATTTTGCCAGACTTACTGGTAAGTTTATCATCTGCTCACTTTCAATAAAGTGGTTTCAGACCAATCTAGGAGTGGCATTAAAATAGAATTAGTTGGGTAAAGTATCTCAATTCTCCATTTTGGTCTTTCCCTATAAACACAGTATCATTTAGATATTCATTCTGAATAGTATCCTTAGGCTATTATGTCACTGTAGCATTTCTGATATTTGATCATTTTTTACCTACAAAAAAGAAATTTCATATAATTCACCAAAATAATTTGAGATTATTCTGGGTAAGAGTAACTATGAAACTATGGTTTCTTGCTGGATTTTGGATGACCTGCACTTGTATAGCCCTTGATTTATATTGTACTCAATGTTACGCAACTTCTTTGTAAGACACCGCCATAAAGTTATAAGCAAGAAAGCAGGGATTTGGCAAAGAAGTCATCACAGGCAGGAATGACTCAATCTTACAGTCTGCTCAGGGAAGACATTCTTTGCACTCTCTAGAAGTAATTGCCATCCTTCGTTATCTACATATGTACATTATATGACACACAAAATCTAAAACACATTTGGGGGGGGCTCCTTTCACCATCTTCTCTAGTTTGACTTTGCTGAGGTGGAATCACTGCCGACCTCTGATGCTGAGAAAATCTTTGTTAAGAAATTAAAGCATTTTAGTTCTGGAACATCTTCTACCTGGCTGATTTACTTGCCACTAGAGGCATGCCACTTTTTCCAAAATATACATATATCTTATTTTAGTTATGCTCTAAATAGGCAGGGACCATGGTCATTAATTTCATCACAACCAAACTCCCTTTCCAGTTTATGAATTCATGTACAGTTTACATTATTCCTTTTTGTAAAAGCATTTGATGTGGTATAACATAAAGAGATACTGGAAAGGATGGTAAAGGGAGGGACAGTGGGGAGACAGAGATTGCCCATGATTTAGAAAAAAGGGAGGGGAGGTACACCAT